TCCATCCATTGTAATTTTATTCTATGATTATTTACAGTCTATCATACAATTTTGCAGTCCTTTCATACAATGTTTTACTTGAAATTCTTTCCTTAGTGCAAACTTGTATTTCCTCATTCCCAAAAAGTGCGTCAACAACATTAACACACTGTATAACTTTATCACTTTTATGACCAGTGTATTTTCCAGAATGCTTGTTGCATATTTTAAAATACCCTGCCATGTAGATGCTGCTATACATTCAGAACTGTTTAAATCTTGTGAAAGAATGCTTGATGGAATCTGAGACCCACCCTGGACTTCAACATAGAAATGAATTCTCACAGGGGGCAGAACATGTAGTTTAATAGCTACTGAGTAAATGATATATGTCAAAGACTTTATTCCTATATTTAATAGCTCAGAACTATTAAGTCTCATGCATACAGAGGGAAATTATTTATCTGCAGCTGAGCTCTGTTTGTCACTCCTTTATAACCCAGGCTTTGAGGACTTTCATTAATGCAATGATCCTTTATGCCAGATGAAGTTGGGCATCCCAATCTCTTGACCCCAGCTAAAGCCAAGGGGCAGCTGGAGGAGTGCCAATAACTGGGACATTCTGGAAGGCATGTTCATCAGCAGTAACCAACACCTGAGCTTTGACTTTGTCTCATGAGTCATTCACAGATTTTCTCAGTCATAGAAAATAACAAAAGTATTGGTTAGTGGGAATATCTGAAGGCCACATAGTCCAGCTTGCTGTTTGGAGCCACTTTCTGTGTGTAGCCAAGACTTGACAAAGCACCTGTTTTACAGTCCAGTGACAATCTTGGAGATGGAGGAGAAAATCATGGTGGTTTTTTTTACATTTTAATGGTTAAGAAGAGAAACTTCTCTGCATTTTCTGAGCACTTCAGAACTTGTGTACTAAATCTCAATCATTCCCAAAGAAATTGTTACCATAAAGTTTTCCTCACTTTAAAAAAAAATATGAACGCTCTTCTTCTGGTTTTGTCCAGTGAAGCTAAAGCAAAAAAGGTATCTCAAAATGGTAAACACATGTCCTTTAAGTTTGCTTTTAGGTTGGCACAATAACTATGCTAAAATGGGAAAATCCAAAAGGTTTTGCTGAATGTAACAGGGAAGACTTTGCTAAGGACCTACTGATTTCAAGGTTAAACAAACTAAAACTGTCCTCCTCCTGAGCACCGTTGCAGTCTAGAGCTTCATTTCTAGAAGGGCCCCAAGTCCTTTCCAGGGTCATGAACACATGTCCATCTGATATGCATTTCAAAGAGCCACGAGGAAATGGAGTCCTGATGAAAATATTCCTGTTGGTTGGCACTCCCTGTCCAATTAAGTCAGTTCAGAAAACTGCCAGCAGAGTGGCCTAGAAATGGCTCCATTGGCACCAACTCTGCAAGTCATGCACACAGATGACGCAGATCTTCAGTATGATAATCTGACGGCAAAGGGTGGCGGAATCAAACTATCATAGCTCAGATCACAAACAATACTCCTGAACCTAACTACTGGATGATGGAAAATTAGAGGGGATCAAAAAGAGGCCTAAAAGCATTTTGAAAAATGAACCATATATATTTCCAAAGTCTCTAGAGCCACATAAGGCCGGAACTTGAACTATAGTATTACAGAACTAATTGCCACAGAGCATTCCAGTAAGTCCTCAGAGGCTTGCATTATTCCCCATCAAAAAGGTTCATTTGAGCCTAAGCTTGCAATGCAGACTGGAATCCTGCTGAACTTGCACTTTCTTTAAGGATAATTTTCACTCTACCACATTCCTAATGGTATAGATAAGGAGGAACAATGTAGAACCACTTGCAAGCACAGACACCAACATTATCAAAAACTGGAAATATTTGCAGCACATTGGATTTTTGTCATACAAATCACAGCAACCATGATAAAGTGAATTAAAAAAAATCATAGTGCTTTTACTTATTTCCCTATTACAATGCATATTTAACTAAATAGATGTTATTAAGTCACCAGGGGCCAGCACTATCTCAAAGGCACTTCTACAAAAGAAGCACCATTTAAAACTCCAAATATTCAAAAACAACTGTCAGCCTCATAAAATAAATGGACTTGGGTCAAAACCAATGAGAGGTTAAGTAGTAAATTTGAGTTTTCCTTTCCTGATGCCCATTTTTAAATTTTTGGCTGCTTTCTTTCCAGACTTCTTTGTATAATCAGGAGGGCCAAAACCATTTAAAACACTGGCATTTTAATATCATTTTATGATTCCAAAAATAGAGGATTAAGCCACATTTCCTGGATCACAGGATAAAATCTTGAGAACTGGCAATTTGCTATGAACCAGATGGTTCAAAGGCTGTTGTTTCACTGGACCAGATTCCCTAATGGACTTCTGTGGCTGATTCTTTTTGAGTGTTACTGATGTCAAATTGGAGGTCTCTAAGATTGCAACTGGAATTCTCAGTGCCGTATTCACCAGGTAACTTGGTGGAATGTACCCATGGCCAGTAGTCCCCAAGACCTAAGAAATGCTGAGATTTGAATTCTCTCATCACTGGGAAGAGCTTAGAAGCCACATTTCTCACAGCAGTATTTAACATCACCACACCAAAATGAGTTCCGAGACTGAAGTTATTTCACTGTGGCTAAATGAAATAAGGATAGAAGATGCCAGGAAAACAAACACAAAACCCCAACAAACCAAAGGCAGAAATGAATGCCTAGTCTATCAGTGAGGAGACTGTCTAATGTGGGCACTCCTTCCAGAGCCTGTGCTCTGTTTGACTCACTTGACTCACAGTGAACTCACTGTTTACTTTTCTTCTGCCTATTCAACCTTTTTGTATGCACGTTATAACACTTCACTAAGAAGTGAAAATCCCCTCATGCCATACCTGCCTATGGATTAGGAAAACTCTAAAAAAGAGAAAGAAATATGATTTGAAAGACTGAATCTAAGGGTTCCACCGACTTTTTAACAGTTGTGCTAGAGGCCAGAGTGCAGTCTTACTTGTGGATAGTGTTTTAAGGATCTTATCCAAAGTTAAATTTGCAGATCTGCTAAAGATCAACTAGTTCATCCAGGTGTCATAAAAGATCAACTTTAACCTTGCCAGCTCCAATTTAAATCCATGATATTTTGTCCTTGTCCTTGATGTTTGAAAGGCATAAAAGTATTTGATTGCTTTAGTCCTATGATATCCCAGCTTCATTCTTCTCCTTCTAACCCAATCAAGGCCATTTCTTTTAATCTTTTCTTTTAGAACCTATTTTCCACATCCAGACCTACATCATCCTTGTTGCTTCCCTCTGTACTGCAGGGTGTTCCTTCATGGGTAGTGGTCAAAACTACAGACTCCACTGCAACAAAGTAAATGAGCATTCTGCAAGTCTTATATACACAAACTCTAGGAAGCTTCCAGTATAATGTTCACTTTTTGACAATTTTAAGAAATTATTTGCCACTATAAACTGACTCTTCATCCAGAAGTATTATTTCCCCAAGTTCACTTTCTGCAATTGTTAAAAAAAAAAAAAAAAAAAAAAAAAAAAGCCAAACCAGAAAAAGAACACTCTAATTTGAGAAGGAAAAAAAAAACCACATGCAACCAAGTTTTAAATGGGACTTGGACTCAGGGTCATGAGAGATGCATCTTCCCATTGCTCTGACAGGTATGTTTGCACAATTGTATTGGATTTAAGGCATTCTTGTCTTCAGACTCTAAGCAGCATATTAACTACAATGCTGACTTTTCTGAACCAGGTTTATAAATACTTAATTCTCCCTGGAGCATTGTTGAAGTGGTCTTGGATTTTACTGATGGTTGCAGCAGGAAGCCCCTTCACAATTGCTACACTTCTCCTATCACTTAATGATAATTCATTAATGATGGAGTTGAAAGCAGATAGGTAACAACCCCTGGAGTGCTGTGTCCACTTCTGGGCTCCACAGTGCAATGGAGCTCCTGCAGCCGGCCCAGCGGAGAGCTACAGAGCTGGTTCAAGGGTCTGGAGCATGTCTTTCATGAGGAAAGGCTGAGGGGGCTGGGCCGGCTCAGATGACTGAGACGACTGAGCCGGCTCATCCATGTGTACAGGTATCTCAAGGGAGGGTTTCAACAAGATGGATCCAGGCTCTTCACCGCGATGCCAAGCAACAGGACAAGCAGCAACGGACAGGAACCGATACACAGGAGTTCCACTTGAATATGAGGAAGAACTTCTTTATTGTGTGGGTAACCATGCCCTGGAACAGACTGCCCCACCTATAGACATCCCAGAACTGTCTGGATGGAATCCTGTGCCACATGCTCTGGGATGACCCTGCATGAGCAGGGAGGTTGGACCAGATGCCCCATTGCAGTCCTTTCCAACCTGACCCATTCAGTGATTCTGTGACCCAGGACAGGATGGGTGACAGTAGCGGCCGCCCGCGCCCTCCTCAGGCAGCGACGGCCGCTCTGGGCAGCCACGCTGGGTCGCCTCACGGCCCCACAGCCGGATGCCCACCGCCCTCACCGCACCGCCCTGCCCCAGCAGGTCCGTGGTGCAGCGGAGAGAATCCTCGCCATTTTCCACCGGCCCCTTCCCGGGCATTCCCGATCCGCACGCGCGCTCCCAGGCCGGCGGCGGCGGGAACGGCCCCGGCTCCTTCCGCCCGCCGCGCGCATGCGCGCTCGTAGCCCCCCGCCGCAAGTCCCGCCCCTCCGCGCCACTGGAGCCGCTGGGCGGCGGGAGGGCGCGCGCGCGCGGCGCGGCTTGGAACCCCACGTGACATGGAGGAGGCGGGGACGGGAAGGGAAAGGTCAGCGGCGACGCCGGCGGCGGGGGGAGCGGAAGGTCAGGGCGGCGCGGAGCGGAAGTGGGAGCCGGAGCCTCGTCCGCCATTGTGGGGAAGCGGAGCCCAGAGCAAGGGGGGGGAAGCGGCGCTGCGTACGGCCGGCCGGCTCCTTCCAGCGGGAACCCGATCGGCGGCGGCAGCAGCGAGCCCAGGCGGCAGCGGCGACAATCAGGCGGCGGCGGCGGCGGTGGGGAGGAGGCGGCGGAGGCGAGCGAGCGGCCCCGGCGTGCGGAATCACTCGAGGCCCAGGCGGAGCGGAGCGAGGGGATCGCGGCTCCCCGTGAAGAATGTCAGCCACCAGCGTCGACCAGGTACCGCCCGCGGGGCGGGGGGGGCGGCCGCCCGCTCTCTCCTCTTGCCGGCCCCGTCGTTACCCGCGGCGGGGGAGGGCGGCGGCAGGGCGGCCACCTGCACCTTCCCTCGCCGCCGGGGCGGCGCGGTTCGCGGCCTCCTCCTTCCCTTCATCCTTCCCTCGCTCCTTCCCTCCCCGCCGCCATGGGGAGCGGCTGTCCGTCGCAGCCGGGATGGCGGGCCTCTTTCGCGGCCCGGCCGCCCCTATTTATAACCGCTGAGCCGCGCCGGGGCCGCTCCGCCTCCCCGCCCGCCCGCAGCGCCCGCCGCCGCTCAGCCCCGAGCGCTGCCGGCCCGGCCCCCGCCCGCGGCCCCTTTGTGTGTGAGTGACCTACTCGGGAGCCGGCCCTTCCCGGCCGGGCCCCCGGGCTCCCGGCTCTTCGCTCCGGGAGCGCCGTAGAGCGGGGCTCCCCGCGGTGTCTGGCGCCGGCTCCTCTCCTTGCGCACCCCAAACTCCGCCAGGCTCCCCGTTACCGCATCCTTTCTCTTCCTGCCTTTCGCTCTGTTCGTCCACCTTTCTCCCTTCGGGCCTCTGACTTCTTCTTTTCCCTCGGCCTCCGCTTCTTCCTGTAGTTCTCAGTTTTTCTCTTTGCGCTGTGCGGCATTCTTTTAAACTTGGTCCTTCACGGAGCTTAGAATTTGTTATTTTTTGCCTTTGCTAGGCCTGTGCTGGTCTTTCTTTCTAGCTGGAAGCTATTCTGTCTTGATCTCTGCTTCGTCCGTGGGTTTCTGCCACTCCCCAAAAGTTTTAGCCTTACAGTCCCTTGCCTCCTTTTATTTTCTCTCTGTGCCTTTAATGTTGTGTTTCTTTTGTCTCTGTGCATGCTCTCCAGTTTCCTTTAAGCATTTATTTCTAGCTCAGTGATCTCTTAGCTTTTCATTGTTATGTCTTTCATGAAGGCTGCTTCTTCACAACTTTTTCTAGTTCTATCTCTTTTTGGCCTTTGCATGCCTTTGTGTCTGGATTAGATTCATCCCAAAAGATGAGGTGGTTGGGGTTTTTCAGGTTACAGAGATTTTTCCAGTTTTGGGAGAGGATGTGTCTAACCAGTGCACCTATAGATGAAGCAGCGTTGAACAGTTTTATGGTAACTCTGAGACAAATGCACATGAAAGTAACTTGGAGGTGGTTACCTCCTAAACTTTCAGACCTCTGAATACTGAGTTCTTCAGGACTAAAAATTGTTAAGAGAATGATGGAGCCTGGAGACCTACTCCTGCTTAGTTGAAAGTAATATGAGAAGGTGAATTAGATTTTCATGGACTAGCATTTGTTTTTTGAGGTTAGTTTATCTTGCTGTAGAGGAATTAAGGATACTGTAACTTGTATTGTTACATTGATTCTTAGTGCATGACAGATTAACAGTGTTTTGTAATGACTAATCCCAAAAAAAAAAAAACCCTCCTTAAGGAATTATTTCCTTGTGTGAAAGCTTTGTACAGACTGTATAATTTTCTCAGTGTAATTGCCTAGGTGAGGAATGTGCAACTTGAAGTTCAGCATATGATACAACTCTATATTCCTTTGTATATCTAAAAAGCAAGGCATTGTGTGTTGTTCTCTGATAAGTACCTGTCAGTCAATTTAAAAGATGACATATTATAATGAAATTTGGGTATTGGCAGTAATCTTAAGGTACTAACTTTTTTTTTTTTTTAACTCTGTGTTATTTTTGTTTATTGCGAATGTTTTTTCAGGCCCTGGGGCAATTAAAATTCACTTGTTCAGCTTTTCAGCACCATTTAATCTTCATATGCTGTTAAATCCTAGATGATTTCAGTATTTTTTGTAAAATTCTATCAGGTTTTGGTTTTAGTAGTATTTTATAATGTTATTTTAAGTAATGTCACAATGTTTTTATAATAGCATGATTTAGTAATATTTTCAATGATATTTAAGTTGGAAAGGGCAGAATTGGCAAATAAATAGAATTACAGTGAAGTTTATATATTAGAGGATTCTAACTGAACTTGTTTTGCTTCCCCCCCCTCCCCCCTACTTTCCTATATACAGAGACCTAAAGGACAGGGAAATAAAGGTAAGTTAACCTTGTATTTCTGTATAAATCTGTAATATTGCTTTTATGGAGGATAATGTCTGACAGTCATAGCAAGAGGTTGTAGCTATAGGATGTCTTTTATTTCAGAGCAGGATGACAGTAAATTGTATACCAAAATGTTACTTCCCAGCACTTTTACTGTGGCACAGCAGTACATCAGTTTACAATGTGTTATTTTGCAAAAGATTAATGTCAGAAGTCAGACAGTTAAATAGTTATTTCTTTATAGCTGTCTTTTTTATATGCTTGTATAATCTCTTTTTAACAGTACACCTTGGGCCTTTTTGTGTAGTGAGTAGAATCATCAGGAAGAATCTTCTGAACAGCTTCCCTAGTTTGCTAGACAGCAACCATGTGACTAGTTACTCATATCTGTGAGCAGAAAACATCACCTTCCTTATTCTCAGAATTTTTGTAGTCTTGCTTCATTTTAGCACCAGTAACTGATTTTTTGTCTGTGTTTGTTGACCTTCTGCTTTTCTGCTTTTTCATGTTTCTGTCAAGGTCTTAGTTTTTAAATTCCATACTCAGTGGGATTTCTTTCCCAATGAAGGAAGAAACTACTAACTACTTAATATTCTTCTCTCTAAAATTTTTGGCAAGTCAGTTGTAAACAGCATTTCAGATTATATCTTGCAGTATTTTGTCTGGAATTTATTTTCTCACTAATATTCTATTTGGAATTTCTTCCGCCTAAACAGTCCACTTTGTGACTATTTAATTCTTAGCTGCTCAGCAAACTGAGCTATAGACTAACATGCACACAGCTACCTCTGTGTGTTAATATGCTTGTTATACTTATGCAGACAAGAAACTTTTTTTTTAAACTTGGATACTCTTTGCCCCTCTTAGTTCATTATCTGAACTAATTTAATTGGTCTCTGTGAGCTGTCATTTAATGTTATCCACAGCATACTTATTCTATTATTCTGTCTACGTGCAGATTGTCTGCTTCTTGTTGCATGCATTGCTTGTGAGGTGGCACGTGGTTCCCAGATCTCACTGAGTTTGGCCTGTTCTTTTTAATTTCTCTGCATTCAGAGAAAAATGAACGTGTTTACCTCCTTGGACGTTCTTAATTTGGTTATTCTTGAATACTTGTTATCTCATATTCTTTTTTTCTGCCCGAAGTGCACTTATTAACTACTTCATGTTTTTGAAATAGTTTGTGGTTATAACCTTCCATGTTGCCCTTAAATGAGAAGTCAGACTCGTTGTGGCAAGTAGTTTGTGGCTTTATAATCTTTGTGTTATCATTTCTCAGTTTTAGTGAGGTTAATTAGATGCATCTGTTAGAGACTCACACAGGTAGTTTTTGAGCTATGTTCTATATATGTGAATTGGACTGGAAGTATTAAGCATTTCTGTTTGGGTGCTATGTTGCAGTGTGTGAAAATGCACTAGTCAGCTTTACTTTGGCTTATTTATGTTAGCATATTTTTGTGTTCCATAATTTGTCACTGCTGTGGAATGTTTGAATCAAAACACATCTCTGCTTGCTATGTAAGGAAGAGATTTTTGCATTTCTGAACTTGGATTTTTTTTATGGAGTGCATCCTTTTAAATAACGAATAGTCATGATGTATTCTCTTGGTGAGAGTATGACCTAAGTGAAAACTATAGTGAAACAGAACAATTAATCTCTGTTCTGTTAAATTATTTGGTGTTATGTCTGCTTAGTGAAACTAAGTTCTGACAGCATTAGATTAAAGGTCTAGGAGACAGTGCTAACATCTTCACTGTAGCACAAATTGTTGGCTTTGGGCTAGAGGCTTTTTCAAGTGGTTGAATTTAGTCAGTGTCAGCAGTCCTTGCTGACCACATGTTAGCAGACAGTTTCAGTTGTCGTGATAGGTTTCAGCTTAGAGGAGCTTTGAGGGAAGATGTGATACTGAGTTAACAGACCAATCTGAAGCTGGTTCTGTGCATAAGAGTCATAGTGTTAAGGAGGATGGCAGAAGCTGTCCACATGTCTGGAAGAGCATATGAGAGAATGAATGAGCCATAAAAGGGATGTATACATACTTCATATTGAAATGAAAAATATTAGAGCTGCAAATTATATTGGTAGCTAGCTGATTTTTATTGTCTAGCAAAATGCCTTGGATGCTGTGTTCTGATTGCTCATAAACTGGTGTACTGTGCTGTTTCCTCTGACCACAGTTTGTGGGACTGAAGTTCTCGTATGTAGAGCAGTACTATCTATCTGTTGTGTCAGATACTTGGTATTTCAGAGGCTTGAATGAGTAAGTCATCCTGTCATGAAACTTTACTTATTCTAGTTGTCAACTACTGTACGGTTGACATAAGCCATCAGAACTGACATCCATCAAGTTATGACTTACAGGAGTGTGAAGAAAAAAAGCATTCCTGGAACTCCTTTTTGGTTTTCCCCCCTTTTGTTTATTATGCCAGTGTATCAAATCTGTCATAGGAAGGTGCTGACTTATTTTTACACTTGTATGTGTAACAGTTTTTGTTTTGTAGGAGGCTTAAATGTAATTATTAGGTTTAAAACAAGAATGAAATATTTCTTTTTTCATTCAGTGTTTATTCTTCACATTAAGGTGTGATGACTTCTAATGAAAAAGTTATTCTTCTTCCTTTGGGTATAATTTTTCATGAGTGGTTATTCTAAGGATAGTAGCAGTTAAAAGAATATTAGCTTTAAATTCCTCTATTTGATGAGTTGCTTCTTCCCAATATCTAATTACACTGTATGTTTTCACAGTGTTTGCAGAAACATGCAGTATTTTTAGCATCATATTGATACAGATATTTTTGGTATCTGTAGATTAGTTTCAATTAGTATTCATCACTGCCCTGTTCAGTTTGAACACTTAACATGAGATTTTGGGAATGAGGCATTCATTTGCTCTTGTTAGATGTCTGTGTGGGCTACATTCTTCACTATTAACACATTATGTAAAGTTAGAATGAAAAGCTAAAGAAACATGCTCCCAGTGATGCTATTTCACTTGGAAATGTATATATTTCACCAGAAAAAGCTTCTCTGTAGAAATATTTTGTGTCACTGACTTTAATATCTCAGTACAGAATGAATAAGACAGAAAATGCATTGACAAGAATATTTTGTTAGTTGTAATGTCAGACCAAAAATAGTTCTGTCTTTAGTGACCTTTAGATACCTGTGGAACACAGCAGATGCACGTTTTATGAAGATTAGCTGTCAGTATGAGGAGATTAATTTTGATGGGATACTAGTCTTGATATACATCTGTTTATTCCTTTACTTGTGGTTGCATGCTTTTAAGGAACTTGTATGCTGCCCATGTTTGTCATTATGATAGAATTGTGTTTGAGAGTTGTGCTGTCTGTTTCATTTGGTTAAGTCTAAGGAGTGGACATGACATAGACAAAATGCTTTGAGGCTTCATCCTGTGTGTAACTGGGCCAAATATAAAGAGGAATTCCAATATGAAGAGCTCATTAATATGTTACCATTGTGTGTAAATTCAGGATGATATGTGACCTGAACTGAAACCGTATTTATGGGGTAAAAGAACCCCCAACACCTAATCTTTAGTTTAAATGTGGTGTTTATTTAGGAATATTGTTCTATCCAGTTGTAACCTGCATTGTGCTCAGTATTGCTGGTCATATTTGACTGTGCTAGTATAGAAAAGCAGTGTGCCAGTTTGTAATAACTGAAGTGTCTGGTGTTCTTTTAAAACTTCAAGAAGGTATTCAAGACACAGGTTGCTTTCTTCCCAGATAATTGCTTTGAAAAAAACCTTCTGTGTTAAATTATGAATTTTTACAATTTTTTTACTGCTCTCTGAAGTTAATAGAATTTTCCAGGATTTTGATTATTCCTTGTAATTATATCTATTACTTTGTCATTTCTTTCAGCTAGTTTCATTCACTGAAGGTAGTTTTGTTTTAGGGATGTTGAAGTCAATGTGAAAAAAATTCAAGCGCCACTTGGCTTACACTATGAATTTTGGGTGGCAAGTCCCTTACCTCCAGTGAAACAAGAAAAAACCCCTGACTCTTAAACACTAATTTCAGCAGAGTTGAATATTTAATTACATGGCTATATATGCTTTTCAGAAGCTTTTGCTAAAAAAGGGAAACCATAAAATTGGCTCCTAAAGCAGTTTTAAGTTTCAGAATATCTATTGTTTTGTTGTAACTTCTGCAGTTGTGGTTTTTCAGAGCACCTTACTTATTGTCCAGAGACTTTCTTTTCCCCCCACTGAACATATTTGACCAAAAAAAAAAAAAGTTGCATTTGGATAACCAATAAATTTATTTTTGAGAACAGATCTTCATCTTCAGGTTGTGTAATTGAAAGTGCTGGTTTAAGTCCCTGTTCTGCTTTGCACCATGGGAAACAATGGAACTTAGCAGAAATTTGTGCAGTGTGGCTTTGAATAGTAGCCTGGGGGATGGTAGAGAGACACTTCAAGTAATTTGGGCAGCTGGAGAATCCCAGGTAGGTGTAATGCCTTAGATGAAATGAAAGGTAATAGGAGACCAAGAAGAGCAGGTAGGAAGAGATTCCAGCATATAGTGGCATAGGTGTTGGGAAAGGCTTGCAATCACCCTTTGGGACTTAAGCTTTTATTTTTGTCTTGCTTTGTCACCTCAGCTTCAGAGATGTCACTAATGCAGTACAGCTATGCAGGAAATACAGGGTTAAATAGCTGAATAGTGGTGTCCTTCATGGTTGTCATGGTGGGTAACTGCCTTTCCTCCTGGCAGGAGAAAGCTGCATGTTGCAACTTTCCCTGAACCTATTGAATAGGTCTATAGATCGGGTTGGTGTGCACATTTGCACTTGCTCTGGTACTTCCGGAAATGCTGGATTTACTGCCTGTGCAAATAAGGTGTGCCTGCAGTTCTTCATCCACATGTCTGTGGATCCCAGGAAAGAATAGTCAGGAGTAGACTGTTCTAGCTGCTGTCTGCAGACCTCTACTGAGATCTGATCCTCATGATCAGTAGAATGAGCTATTTTGTTTAAATTGGAATGGTGCTTAACAATAATATGTATTTCAATGTACAGGTGATTAAGAAATGTTACCTAGATTAAAAGTGCAGCATAGATTTTCCAGAGACTATTCTAATACAGATTTATTTTTAGTTTCAGTACAAAACGGTTCGATTCATCAAAAGGATGCAGTAAATGATGATGATTTTGAGCCATATCTAAGTAGTCAGACAAATCAGGTAAGTGAACATTGGTTAGTACCTTAAAGTTAACTCTGACATTCAGCTGACTTCCAGACTTAATTTTTGGATATTTCTTACCATTACTGACTTGCCTGTATATACATAGAAATATAATTTTATGTCATACTTTGTCTCATCATATCTTAAGCAGATGAAGTGTTCTTAAGAATTCTGGAAAAGCTTCTGCATTGAAAAGCATGCTTTCATGTCCCTTGCTCTTATGTTTCTGCTCTAGCTTCAGAAAGATGCAGTTACAAGAAGCTTGAGCTAAAAACCAAACCCTTACATTTAAAACAAAATCATAATTTTGGCTGCAGTCCAAAACAACCGTTTTATTAGCTCTGAGAATATATTAACTGCTTGGACATGGTTTCCTTTAACGGTGGTGGAAGTAGCTCACAGCTGATGGCATAATAGATGGAGGCTTAGTATCACTACAGCTTGGTACAGCTCTTCTGCCAAGAAGCTAATGGCTTGACTTCCAGAGCTGTGAATTGCCTCTGTAGTTGAAAGTTAGTATGAGTTATGTTAAGTTTGTAAACTGGAGTGATCTTGAGTGAGAGAGAGAGTACAAGTTATAAAAAGACTGAGAATTTTTACTTGCCTTCACTTTTTTTTTTTTCCCAATAATACAGCATTAAGGAAGCATCAGCTAGATGATATGTGCAATTTTGTTCTACAAAAAAACCAGCAGAAATCATGTAGGGGTAGTCCTTCAAATGTCGCAAGAAATAAATTGTGTGATTTCCCAGGAGTCTGTCTGGAGTAGTACTGATTTAATGCCCATTCTCCATAGCATGGATGTGTTGCTTCTTTTTTGTTGCTGCTTCTGAAACAAACAGGCATCCTTGCATCCATTTCACTGTACTAGTCAGTTGGAGTCTGCAAGTAGCAGTGAGAAATACGACAAAATCTAAGAATACCACAACTTTAAATCATAGTTGCAGCTATTTTTCTTCAGTTACAAAGGTACAGTTATGACTTGTTTTAGAGTAGCTTGTTATTTTCTTGATGCTGTTGGCATGAAGGCATTTTACACCTAGCTTAGTAGCTAAAAATGAGGATAATGTTCCAGAGCAAAAGGGGGTCCTTTAACGCTTTGAGAAGGTCTCTTGAAGAAATGGCCATATCTGACGGGTACCTCACTCATCTCTTATTTTGTGAGGAATGGTGGAAGTTACAAATACATTCATATAACTCTTAAAAATGTTTTGGATTGTATTACAGGTTTTTTTCTCCCAAACATAACTGTCAATATTGCTGATTTTTAAAATTTTATTTTCTTGCAGAGTAACAGCTATCCGCCAATGTCAGACCCATACATGCCTAGCTATTATGCTCCATCCATTGGATTTCCATACTCTTTAGGTGAAGCAGCATGGTCAACTGCAGGTGACCCTCCAATGCCATATTTGACAACTTATGGACAGATGAGCAATGGTGAACACCATTACATACCTGATGGTGTATTTAGTCAACCCGGGGCATTAGGAAATACCCCTCCATTTCTTGGGCAGCATGGATTTAATTTTTTTCCTGGGAATGCAGACTTCTCTACATGGGGGACAAGTGGATCTCAGGGACAATCAACGCAAAGCTCTGCTTACAGCAGCAGCTATGGCTATCCACCTAGTTCTCTTGGGAGAGCCATAGCAGATGGACAGGCTGGATTTGGCAGTGATACTCTGAGCAAGGTGCCTGGGATTAGCAGCATTGAGCAAGGCATGACTGGACTGAAAATTGGTGGAGATATGACGGCTGCTGTAACAAAAACTGTAGGTTCAGCTCTGAGCAGTACAGGTATGACAAGCATTGCAGCTAACAGCGTGCCCCCAGTTAGCAGTTCAGCACCTAAGCCAACCTCATGGGCTGCAATTGCAAGGAAACCTGCTAAACCTCAGCCGAAACTCAAGCCTAAAGGTAATGTGGGCATTGGGGGCCCTGCTGTACCGCCGCCACCTATAAAACACAACATGAATATTGGAACTTGGGATGACAAAGGGTCAGTGGTAAAAGCACCCCCAGCTCAACCAGTACTGCCTCCTCAGACTATAATCCAGCAGCCTCAGCCATTAATTCAACCACCACCACTGGTGCAAAGCCAACTGCCTCAACAGCAGCCTCAGCCACAGCAACCACAGCAGCAACAAGGACCTCAGCAGCAGGCCCAGCCTCACCAGTTGCAGCAGCAACAGCTGCAAAACCGCTGGGTAGCTCCTCGTAATAGGGGTGTGGGCTTCAGCCAGAACAATGGAGCTGGTAGTGAGAACTTTGGTTTAGGTGTGGTATCCGTCAGCTCCTCACCTTCTGGTGTGGAAGTGCACCCAGTGCTGGAGAAACTAAAGGCCATAAACAACTACAATCCCAAAGACTTCGATTGGAATCTGAAGAATGGACGTGTGTTTATAATCAAAAGTTATTCAGAGGACGATATTCATCGCTCCATTAAGTACTCTATCTGGTGTAGTACTGAGCATGGGAATAAGCGCTTGGATGCTGCTTACCGGTCCCTGAATGGAAAAGGCCCACTCTATTTACTCTTCAGTGTGAATGGCAGTGGACACTTTTGCGGAGTGGCTGAGATGAAGTCTGTTGTGGACTACAATGCATATGCTGGTGTCTGGTCTCAGGATAAGTGGAAGGGGAAGTTTGATGTCAAATGGATCTTTGTCAAAGACGTTCCCAATAACCAACTGCGACATATTCGCTTGGAAAACAATGACAACAAACCCGTTACCAATTCGAGGGACACTCAAGAGGTACCCCTAGAAAAAGCCAAGCAAGTGCTTAAAATAATTGCTACTTTCAAGCATACCACCTCAATCTTTGATGACTTTGCACATTATGAGAAGCGTCAAGAGGAGGAGGAAGCCATGCGTAGGGTAAGAAATCAGTGTCATTACAGTAGCTCTCTTTTTTTCTGTTTTCAGAAACCTTGTTTTTCATTCATCTGGAATTTCTATCTGCAAGTGTTAAATCAGAAAGTGGTACTTCTTACTCAAAGTGTCTACTTGATGTAACTGGCTCTTAACGAAAAAATTTAATTCCTGTAACTTGTTTATTAGTTCAGTCATCTGTTTAATCACAATACGAAGGTAGGCCTGAATAAGCAGACATCTGACACATTCTACTTCTTCAATGCAAATGAAAACTGAATTGAGTCCATTATCCATAACTGAAGTCTTCTTGCTTAGTTTTTTACAGTTTCTGGATGTCAGAAAAAGGACCAGGAATTAGAGAAGAAGCGCACTTTATTTAACATGACATTTCAATTCAAATTCTGCTTTAATGAAATGTTAACAGCATGATTAGTGTGAAAAGCAGGTTTTTTCCCTTGATTCAATTTATCTTTTGTGGAACTGTGAAAAACAGAAATGTTACAGTGGTGACTTGAATAGTATTGAAATATTTTTTTGACCTTTCTGATAGTGCATTTCCTTAAAAAAATGTTCATTTCTGCAAGGAAGAGTAAATGTGATAACTCTGTACAGAAACTTTTAGTTTTGGAGGCATTTCCTGAAATGCTCATCAGACAAGGGAAAAGCATTTCATTCAAGCAGTTTTGTAGTACTTGTCTTGTGTACCCTCCCTAATCATAACACTTGTGCTCACCATTGGCCACAATATTTACTTTTCCTATATTTACTTGCTTTCCAGACTTGCCAGTGACTGTAAATGTATGATTTGTCTCATGGTAGAAACATTTCAGGAGCTGTTTTTACCAGTTAGATGATATGCAAGTACTCAAAAATGGGCGTTGCCATCAGTATGGTTTGTTGCTAATGATCTCTGTTCATCATGTCACACCACTCACTGAATGAAAAGCCCCAAAAGTTTAGGGTTTGTACTAACTAAGAGCCTTGAGACATGTGAAGTGGAGAATTCATTCACTTGAAGCTGACACATAAAGAAGCTGTGAAGTAGGTGAAATGTTTACTTCTCTTAGGTTTCTAGTACTGGTGTGGTTACACCCCTGTTGTACGTTCCTAATCCTTCAGTGTGTGTTGCGTCTCCTGTAGAACAGTGTCAGGCGTACCCCACACCAATTTTCTGGTTCCATTGCACGACTCTGCAATAAATTATGTTCAAAGTATTCTGTTGTTGGGAGGCTAGATGAGTATCCCAGTTGGGTATGTGATGCCTTTTGGACTTTTTTCCTAAAAAGAAAATGGATTATGCCCTAAATGAGTATCATTACTTTCATGATATCTTGATGATGGGGTGATGGACTGCTTTCTTAACTAATATTCAATGTAAGGGAATGACTTTGACTTTTTCTGACTTCATCAAGTGCAGAACCACCAGCCAGTCAAGGGAGGTGATTGTCCCACTATACCCTGTGCTCGTGAATCTTCTCCTCAAATCCTGTGTTCAGTTTTCAGTGCCATAATATAAGAAGGACATAAAGCTGTTAGAGATCATCTAGAAGGGTCACAAAGATGGTGAAGGGTCTGGAGGGAAGCTATGTGAGAAGAAGCTGTGGGCACTTGGTTTGTTCAGCCTGGGGGAGACTGAGGGCAAGACCTCATTGTGGTCTCATGAGGGCAAGTGGAGAGGCAGGCACTGATTTATTTACTTTTGTGACCAGTGACAGGTTCCCAGGGAATGGCCTGAAGCTGGTATTAGGGAAGATGTAGATCAGATAGAAGAAAAGAGGGTGGTTGGGCGCTGGAACAGGCTCCCCAGGGAGCTGCTCCAAGCCTGACAGAGTTCAAGTGTTTGGGCAATACTCTCACATAGATGGTGCAACTCTTGGACACAGAACCAGGAGTTGGACTTTGGTGATCCTCATGGGCTCTTTCCTGTTGTTCTGATTTTGTGATTTGTTGTAATTTTGTCATGTTTCAGGAGGACTGAGATTATAATGTATAATGTATCTTTGTAGCCTTCATGCTTCAGTATTTTCTAAATTTTCAGAATTTTGGGATATTTCACAAATAACTGGTTTGCTTCAAAAGTATCTCCTTTATTGAAAAAAACTTCACAAACAAGTAATAATTCAGACACGCCCTAGCAACTCAGGAAGATTGTTTTATTTGTGGTTTTATTCCCTCAGTAGTAGGTAAAAGCCACAAAATGTAATGAAGAGGAGGAATGTAGATTGTGGAAGTGATTCTATGTGTGCTAAACTTAAAATTCAAAGTACTGAGTTCAGCATTCAGTGGGTCTTGAACTAGCTAACTGTGATGATGGGTATTTGAGTAATAAAGTAGCATTACTATTTGAATAGTATCTTCAGAGAAACATACAGTATCTGTATGACTCAAGTACTTACCTCTTTGTTTCTTTGTAAATAGTTACCTTTCCTAACACTTGAGAGAAAACATGCTTGTCAAGATACTTGCAATAGTGGCCATTGGCTCTTTTACAACATTGCACAAATTGGTTTTATAACCAATTATCAAAAATTACTTTATAACTGTGTAAGTTAGTCGTGAGGTTTTTCTCTTGTAGATGGATTTGAGGTATGCCTTCAGCAAATTCATGTAGACTTAAAATATAGGAAGTTCAAATTAAACTAATGACACCTACTGTGACTTTAGCATTCTCTTGTGATTGAATGTTGATTTTAAATCTGTGCTTTTTCTTTTATCACACAGTGTACAAGTAACCTGTCTTTAAATTGTAAACATGCAATTGTTAACTCTTATGTTAAGTCTGTAAATGCACCAATTAGTATTGTAAGTTCTAGTTTATGGTTAATTGGATAGCTATTTATTACCTAGCGCCAGGTAAGCTTTCATGAAGCTCTGTTTAAATATGTGCACTTTCTACTGCCTGTAGAACTGTGTAAATTAAGTTCCTGTTCATTTTCTTTGCCAGCTGTGGCAGTCACTTTGTTTCCAGTGTTTTGGTCATGAAAAATATAAGCATAGCTGTTAATAAAATACTAAATGCATCAGGCAGCAGTAGTCCCTTCCATGTTCCTTGAAATTCAGCTAATATTTTGTTATTGCATAGGTGGTTACAAACTTCCATACAGCCAGCAATCTAAATATTGTAAATGGCAAATAATTTAGGATTTAATTTACTTTATAACTGTTCATCATTACAGCTAATTTATCTTAAAATAATTGATTGTAAAAGTTTAATCATAACAGCTCAGGGGGATCAAGAATTAATTTCCAATACGGCCTAGCAATATGTTTTATTAAAATGGCAGTATACTTCTAGAAGTACAAGCAATAGCCTCTAATAAATATGAAACTTTAGTAAGTTTGCTGTTTGATAAATGTAAATTGAAAATGACAAATAGTCTCTTCAAGTGTAAATTTTAGAACTGTAGTGTCTAGCACTGTTTGATGTAACCCTGGTGTGGGTGTGGTATCTGCAGCAGGGCTTGTGCAGTAATCATTCCCTTTCTCCTACAGCTCAGGTTCCAGACTCCTATTTTAAACATACAAGTGCTGTGATCTTTTACCAAAGGATCAGAGAAATGAGTGATGCTTTTCATGAGTTCTGTCAGACATACATTGAAATGGTCTGGAATTCCATTTGTCCTTGGTGAACTGCTGCTTTGTGGTGTAAATGTGCAACTTGTGTGCATATTATTTAAAAAGATGTTTGATTGCCTTTCAGCAGAAATCTGTAATATCTAAATGAATGAAACAAAAATCTGAAACAACTTCAATTTAGAAAATAAAAGGTATTGAAAATAAAGAAAAAGATCTGTAGTAGTAGCTTTGCATCTGATCTTTAATTAGTATATATGGGTGAAAATAAAATGTGGCTCTGATTAAAAAATGCAGTTCTTGACAGATTACAACTTCCTTGCCCTTAGATGGTGGCTTATTAAGTGTTGTCCTAGGACTTCTTTTGGTGCTTTTTGAGAATTCTGCTTTTGTAGCATACAGTGGGGAAAAAAGGTCATGATTTCATGTAATTGTAGAGTGCTTTAGATGGTTTTCTTAGTGCGGTAGTCCAGAAAAGTCATTGATTTTTATTCATGAGGTAAGATAGAAGAACTTAGTATATATTTATGCTTATCTGATTTGCATTTGGAATTTTTTTACTTTTCAGGAAGCCTTTAAATGGCAGATAAATAAGCATTTAAAATTTTAGCTTTCTTGTGTTGTATTACTTATCTTGTAATAGGAATGCTGACATAGCTGGAACTTCTTGACTCTCAAAAGGAGTGATATTTTTTTCTCCCTTCATTCTGATACCAATGTAACTTTTGTTTCTCTGGTAATTGGGTCATTATCGGGCTGCAGTGTTAAGCAGTGTAACTCCTTTCCTTTCTAGGACATTGCTGACATTGTGATTGATTTGATATTTCTTAAAAATATCTTGAAGGGAGAAATCATCCATTAAGAGTGAACTGTAGCTGCTTCTTCCTCCTCTTAAGCCCCAATCATCAATTACTACATTATAATGTCAAGAACAGATATAGATCCATTGACAGATTTTTCAGTTAAGGAAAACAGGTGATTGACAAAAAATTTTAATGCAGTTAAATTATATTTGTACTAAATAACTTCTAAAAGTTTGTGTATTTATATTTATAAGAGGTTTATGTAATAAGCATGAAACTGTCTAAAAGAGGGTTATGTAATTAATATCTTCTGAGAAATATGTTCATTTCCTGTATGCTTTTGATGAAGTTTCAAGGGACATTATTTTTCAATTTCCTTGAACTTCATATTTATCAAGAGTGTCATCTTCATAATTGGAAGTGAGAAAGTAGAAACAGGAAACACTTTTTTTTCCCCTCCCTTGATAGTTGTGAGATGAATACGTACCCCTGGTCATGGGAGATGATTATTTGGAGCTAGAATAATTTTGAGCATACTGCTCCAGCATTTCCTTTCCATGATGGTCTGCTTATTTGCTGTGTCTTCATTTGCTTTTGAATCTTTAGTCTTTTGGAAAAACTTAAAAA